AATAGTCTCCTGGTTCTTGTATTTTATCACAGCAACTTATAAAATGCAGCCTTACAAGATACGTGCCATCAAAAATAATGGAACACAACTTCATGTCAAAATTCTGAACTACCTTAAGTTAGTGAGTGGTCTGCATGGTGTCCAACTGATGTCTGTGTTGGCCTTGGAAATTTTAAATATTCTAAGATGGTTGTCTTAATTACTTTCTCAATTATGGGACACAATACTTGATACCCACAAGTTAAAGGAGCAAAGGATTATTTATTTTAACTTACAGTTTGTAGAGGTTTCAGTTTATACTTGGCTGGTTTCAACACAGGGCAGCACGGCAGAGGGAAATGGCAGAGAAGAAACAGTCAGTGGCATAGCAGACAGGAAGCAGTCAGTGCTCAATGGAGTCTACACCCACAGTGTCCTACCTCTTCCCACTAGGCTTCCCCTCCCACCATCACACCCAGCATAAACCCATCAGTGGACCAATCCGGTATCACATACCCATGATCCAATCACTTTATAATATAAAAGCTCCACCTATGAGCGCATGAGTCTTCATACTTATTTCCATAGTGATTAGTTTATATTCCTAACACCATCGCAGAAAGATTTTTCCCCCTGAAGTCTAATAAGCATGTTGTTATTATATTTCTTGCTGTTGGCCATTTTTTCTGAGGTAAGGTGAAAACTCACTGACTCTTAAAATAATTATTTAAAAAACCCCAAGTTTTCAACTAAAATTGATTATAGAAAACTTAAAAATCTTAGTGGGTGGCCACAAACCACACTTTTGAAAACCATGTTTTACAGTGGTAATTAGAAGTAGAATATAAGTTTCTAGCAAGTGTTAGCTTGCTTTTTTAAAAAAATAGCTTTAAACTAAAGGCTGGCTTTATTAACATACTAACAGAAATGTTAAGAGAAATTCATAGTGTCACTACAAAAACAAATTCTGGAAATATGATTGATATTGTATTTTTATTTAACCATTATGTCAAGGATTTATTACTAAACTAAGACTATATAGTAGAATATATAGCTGATATGACTTCTAGATAATGAAAGCTGTTGCAAAGCCAGATAGTAAAAGTGCAAAAAGTGAAAATAAGATAATTATTGTGCTAAACAGTTAAGAAAACTTAAAAAGTGTTGACTTTTTAAAAAATCACTAAGTTAAGATTGGCTCACTGGATTTAGTACATTTACAAAGTCTATAGAAGAGGAGCTATGAATTTAGCAATCAATAAGTTATGCTTTGATGTACTTTTTTACTCAAAGTATTTTGCTAGTAAGAAATTATTCTTTATACTTTATACATTTTGGATAGAATGCTTCTGTATCCATATACAGAGATAAAAAAAAAACTGGAAGAGAAGTAAGATAGAATTGACTCTATGCTGCTGGAACTGCTAATCCATAGAAAGCAAACTTCTCTACAGGTATTGTCTTCTTGGGAGATCACAGTCTTCTGTGGGCATTTGCTGTTCTTGTTTTTGTTTGCCTTAAAGTGAAAGCTGGTTCTCTCTGAAGATATTACTTCCTATAAGCTCTTCTAAATGGCATGTAAGTATTATCTCTTGTCAAACATCTAGGATTTAGGGTTGATGTCCACCTTCTTATTACTATTTCAAGATAGTTTTTATTTTATGCTCTTCTCAAATTAAAGGAAAGCAAAAACTATCAACTGCAACTTACATCTAACCCTTTGTAGCTAAAATATCCTCTGCATCACATCTTCCCACTTCTGATCCAAAGTATATTAGCCTGCTGCAACTCAAGGTCTTTTCCCATAGCTATTGTACAACACTGCTTTTCAAACTTTATATACAGTTGCCTCACCATAGAGAACTCATTAAATTCAGATTCTGACTCTTAAGAACACCCAGAGATTCTGCATTTTTTATAGCATCCATGAGAAGCTGTGGAGCACTTTGAATTGCAAAACACTTGAAGAGCTGTTTCTGCTCTTATCTAATCTAGTGTATCTGAATCTCCCATTTATACTTTGGTACTCATTTTATCCCATTTTTACTATCATTATTATCTATTGTTCCTTCATTACTCCCTCTTTCTCATAGTCAATCTCTCTCATCTTTTCTCTTGCCCAAAGTATTGTTCACTAAAAAACTGAAACAAGCCAAAATATATTATGATCATCATCTTCATCATCATCACCATCATAACGGGTTTTCAATGAATTCCCCAGCCTGCCTCAAATTCATGATCCTCTTGTGCCAGCCTCCTCCGTAGCTGAGATTAGAGATTTTCAGCACCACGGCTGGTTCTAAAACAAAATAAAATTTCATTCTCCCTATGTACCATAGGGCACTTCTGCAGCAGACTATGAAAAAGACTTACTTGCTTGCAGGCACGACTCCTGTATCTGAAACTCAGGTCTGTATAGACCTCATTGGGACTTGAAGATCCATGGCTCCAGGGGCTGACTGAAATCATCGGTGACCCTGTGATAAGAAGCCAGAAATCACATTTCCCTTCCTCATTCTATTTAAGCCCCTGAACACCACTCAATATTTTTAACTATGCCAAACATTTCTGTTCACTGTCCTCCGTGACACCACAGTCACCTTTTCTCCTGTTACTGTTCTGGGGACTCTCTCCAGTCTGTTTTACAGGACCACAAAGGCCATCCAGCCATTAGAAATAGAGTTGTAATATGGAACTCTTCGGTTGTTTAGGACCCAGTCCCAGTGGCCTTTTCCTTGTATATTTATGCTCTACATGACATTTCCATCTTCTTCTTTCTTTAAATGCAAATGACATGTGAATTTATGTCTCTAGTTTATAGTTCTTGAGTTGACCTATTTGACTTCTCTTGGATGTCTCCAATATACCTCAAATATAAGGAGTATGAGTCTAATTGATACTTTCTATCCCTATCAGTCAATGTATGTTATTACATAACTATCCAGGAAGATACACAGTCCAGAAAATCATTATTACACTTGATATACATACCTTCCTCCCTGCCTTACAGTCTTCCTTCTAACTGCTCCCACATAGCTATCAAATCTATTTACTTTTCTCTAACTCCACTATCACTTACACTCTGGTAGAGGCAATTTTTATCCCTCGACTGGTCGACTACAAGTTTCTTAGGGAAGCTCATCTCCACTCACTTCACTCTACTTCTTCCCTTTTCACTTGTCCCACACCCTGCAGACATTTTGTGAAACAAAAATTTGATTATTTCCCCTTGCCTCTGCACACACTGAGCTTCCTTTAGTCCTTTAGACGTGCCAGGCTCCTAATTGCTATCGATTCGCTCCCTCCTGAGAAGGCTTTTCTCCTAGATAACCCTATTCAAGTCTCAACCCCATCACTGTCTCGGGGAACACACCTACAAGACCAGGTAACAATTATGCTCTACAACATAACTCAGAATCATATACTTTCCCACTAAAATATTTACGGTATTCTTTATGTTCTTCATGTCCGACAGTATGGTGTATATCTGTTTTTTTTTTTTTTTTTTTTTTTTTTTTGCCAATGCTTCTCCAATTTAGCTTGATTTCTGGCACATAGGCTGTGTGAGTTTGAATGGATTAACATACGGACAGGTTGATAGTATAATAAACTAAGGAACCCTGAATGATGTGGCATTTGAACTGGACAATGTCTCTTACTTCTTGAGATCAGGTGGAAGAGTACAAATTATGGATATTTCAAAGAACAAAATTCAACAGTTTGCAAAATTATATATATATATATAGTGATAAAGGAGTTTAAAATGATTCCTAAATTGACCTGAAGAATGGTCTGAAGGATGTTAGTATGCCTACAGAGAGTTTAGCTGAAAAATATGATGCATGCATTTTTTTTTGATACACTGAACTTTAGGTTGCAAACTCATGAGATTTAATGTCTTAAATATTTCAAGATGTGGGAATGTGTATGATGTATCTAGGCGTCTTTGTCTTAATCTGAGTGACCTTTGCCTCTACTAGCAAACATACTTCTCCGCACAGTATTTCACTATGCTAGTTAATACTACAGGAAGAGTCAGAACTCTTGGAACTGGTTTTTTCATTGTTCTTTCTATTCCTTTCTTCTTTTCTGTCATCGTCTATATTTTCTCTTATCTTATCACCCTAGACTTTCATCTGGACTTGCATCAAGTTTCTAACTACTCTACCTAAATCCAGTCTTGGTCTCCTGTATTCCAGTTTTCGACTTCCTCCCAGGGTGACTTTTCCAAGGCATGAATGTCACTTTGCTGATTATGATTTGTTCCTTTTCTTGCTCTTTAGCTCTACCAGACAACTTATTCCAGCTCCTCTGTAGTTCCACCAGTCACACCAGATTACTCAGTATTCCAAAATCCTCATACTCGAAACGCTCCCAGGTTCCTTCCAATCTTGGAATGGGGCCACCAAGAAAAAAGTCCACAAAAACGCTTCTTTGGACCTCACAAAGATGGCTACCCGAGAGCTCCATTACGTCCTACGTCATCACGTGCTGGGATGAGGGTGGGGTCCAGAGGAAGGCGGGGCGGGGAGGGGCGGGACCAAGCAGGTGAGGCGGGGCTCGGAGGGATCAGGGCGGAGCGGGGCCGGTGAGGGGTCGCAGGCGCTTCTGCTATTCGGCCGGTGCGCGCGGCGAAGGAGGCGGCGCCCGCCCGGAGAGTCCGCTCGACGTCTGGCGGGGACAGCGTGCCCGGGACGAGCCGGCTCGGACACGGCGCCCCGCGACCGCACACAAGCCAGTGGCAGCGAGGACCGGCGACCCGCGCCCGAGCTCCGCGGGCCCCGGGATCGCGCAGCCCCGGCGCCTCCCTCACCCCAGGGGCCGCGGCCGCGGTGGCGCTGACGGTCACGGGGCGCGGCGCCACCTTGCGCGACCCCGGCCGGGACCCGAGCAGGCGGACGCGCGGGCTCCTCCCCCGGCCCCGGCGGGGCCCGCACCTGCGCCTCCTCGCGCGGCCGCTGCGCTCCGCCCCGCGCCGGCCCGGCGGCTCTCACCTGCGCGCGGGGACGCGGGACGCGGCGGGGCGGCACCATGAACAGCGGCGGCGCCAACATCACCTACGCCAGCCGCAAGCGGCGGAAGCCGGTGCAGAAAACGTGAGTGTCCGCCGCGCACCCGCCCCTGCCCGCCCCTGCGCGCCCCGCACCGGGCTTCGCCGCGCGGGGCGCTTCCCGTGCGGGGCTGCGTGCCCCGCCAGAGGCCCCCGGCCGTGGCAGCTCACTCTGCGCTTCTTGGGTCCGCGTCTGCGGACTTCCCTGACCCGCCTGCCCTGTGGTGCTGGTAGATTAGTACTCTGAGCCTGGCGCAAATCCCTTTCCTCTCCGTGTGGCCGGGTCAGGTGAGGGGACGGGCTTCGCGCTCCGCTGAGGCGGGAGCTCGCCGGGCCCAGGCTGCCGTCCCCGGGCAGGGCCGAGCCCTCGAGGTCCCGGCTCCCTCCTCGCCGCGTCGGCCTCTCTGTTTCTTGCACTTCAGCCCTCCGCAGTCGATTTGCAGCGCCCGGCGCGCCCCTGCCCGGGAGCTGTCACCTCGGGGCGCAGACGGGACGGGAACAGGCGGAGCGCAGTGGCGGCTTGGTGTCCCCCGCGCCTTTTGAGGACGCTTTCTTCTTCTCCTTTTTGGGGGTGGTTTTAAAGTCTGTAAAATAAAAGATTTAGAACTGCATTTATTGAGAGAGGTTTCATTCTTAGTATCTACCTGTAATCCCCACCCCACCCCCACACACTTCAAAATTAGGTCAAGTCTAATAGTGATTACAAATTTGGATTTGCTTCGGTCGTCTGTCTGTGTGAGTTGGAAAGTACGTTAGAATATTTTTTCCCCAAGGGGGAAAAGCCGACACATCTCCTCTTGTGAGTTGACTGTATTGATTGATTATTCTTGATCATTAAGTTCTTTTTACCTCAGCAGTATTTTTCAGATTTTTATAAATAACTTTAAGAACACAGAAATGGTTATTTATAGGAACTCAGAAGTGGGCATTTTGCTTAAACTTTAACCGTCACTATCTGAAACCAGAGAAAGAACAGTTTAAGACTTGTACAGCATTTGAAACTGGTTTTTTCATTGTTCGGAAATTTGTTTCCTTTAAGAATTTCCCTTATCATTATTCTTCAGATTTAGACTTTTAAATGAGCACTAACGGAAGATACGAATACACTGGCCGAAATTTGGAAGTTTTATGGTGTAGTGTTTCAGACAGGAATATTGCTGAGTCAGTATTCTCCTGTCAATTCTGAGGCAGGTTTACAATGCTATTTTTTTTTCTTTTTGGTAGAATGGTTTCTTCTATTAAAAGGTGTATCTAATTTAATTTTTCCTTTGATAATTAAAACGGGAGGCACCCCAAATGCCTGTTCCATGTATTTATTGATACAGCTGTCTACTTCGATATATAATATGGGTATCATGGGTTTATGTACATAAGTCTGAAAATTTGAAGCGTTGGTGGGTTTTTCAGATGTTGAGTTTTAGTCAACATGCCCTTGAAAGGGGATGTGCATTGTTTTATAAACAAAATTAAATGTCTTAATTGTAAAGTGTAACAGTTTTGCCTTCTGGTTAATGTTTTATGAAAGCTCTTTTTGCATTTTTGTTTTGTGTAAGAGGTTCCTTTTATATTTTAATGTACTCCCTTAGGCTTTAATAGAGTGTATGTTCCTCACTGCCCTGCACTTCAATCACTGAGGACATTTATCAGCTCCTTATTGACTACCAGCAGTTGCTTCTAATTAAACGAATGCCTTAAATGTCACCAACTTGATGCAAGAAAAGCCTAGTGCTGGCATTTACATTAACAAGTGAAAGTGTTTACGTGAGCCATTTTTACCTGAAACACACAGTTAATCAAAGTTAATCACACTGCAAGAATGCTGCCATTATATTTAATTATATGTCTAATATGCATTTTTTAAATTAAACTGCTAGTAGGTGGCTGACGAGGTCTAAAACAAACACTGGGAAAAACTACATCTTCTTTGAGCTGAAAATGTTACCCCAGTCTATTTAACTTTGACCCTATTAAGTGAGAGCCATTTTTATTCTATGTGTAGAGAAAATGTTTTGTAGCATAGTTGTAGAACTGGTTAAAAATAAGGTGGCTATTTATATATACAATTCCGTAAATTCTTAGAGTGAAGTTGGTGACATAATTTTCACCTGAAGCTCTTCTAGTCAGTCTTCAATTGAGTTTATGAAACAAAGTAAACTCCCTCTAGTGGCTAGTCTCACATTGCAAATTGTAAGAGGAAGTACTTACATTGAGAATTGTTAAATTTAATCTCACTAAAATATTTAGCGGACTAAAAAAAGTTTCATTTCTCCTTAAAGTAATCAAAATTAGCAAATTAAAAGATTTTAAGCAATGTTACATCTGACCTATTTTTTTCCTTCCAGAAGAAATTGAAAAAAAAAGCTAGAATATGTTTTAATTCTTAGAATGTAGTTCCATGCTAGGTAAACCTACTCAGAAAGAAAACAGATATTTTTATTTAAAACCTGTTCTTGTTTTATTCTTTTTGGAAATGAAAACATCTCTGTGTATTTTATTATTTCATCTCATGTAGAATGTTTAAAACTGCACTGTGGAATTAGTGTGTTTTTCTCTAGTGATGATAACTTTGAGTATATTTTTAAAGTTTAAAGTTTTGTTAAAGAAGAAGTTACAATGATATTTCAATTTCCAGTATTTCTAGAACATTAGTTCTGAACATTGTATAAATGACATCTGCATCTAAAAATGATACCAGCATTAGTGGCGACAGGCTAGCCGTTAGGAGTCTTCAGGACTGGAAGAAACTTCTAGCATCAGGTGATCCTCAGTTTCAGTGTGAAAGCTTGTACTTTATTGACTCACCAGTAATATTAACATACAGTGAAACTTGAGTATTTTCTTGCTAAATTGTGTTTTATTTGAACAGAATAAACTTCATTCATATAGTATACACAGGAAATTTTATTACCTCTATGATACACATTAAATGGTTTATTTAAAGTAGATAATAAATGCCATTTTCTGAATAGTTCCTGAAATAAAATAGTACAATCTTTTCTGTTACATAGTTACTTCTCTATTTTCCTCTAAGATAGTTTTGTTCAGAGAGCTTACACATTTTGGCTATGGATGTTCTTGCACGTTGGAAATATGAAAAGAAATAAGTGACAATGTATAGTTATAGGTAACATTAAGTGACAAAAAGAAGAAACGGTTTGCTGTAAGTTGAGAGCCCTCTAAAATAAAAGATACATAGTTTGCTTATGGTTGTAGATCTGGTCAAGTTTCTTGACATACAAATAAAGCAGGACAGTCTGTTACAGCACTGCCACTACCACAACTAAAACTTGCAGAAAAATGATTTTATAAAGTGTAAAAGCTGCTAAAGATGTAATTAAGATTGAAGCATGTGTTGCATTTTAAATACCTGTAGCTTGTGTTAGCCAGAACAATCAGTTCTCCTGTGAAACAGTAAGAGGCAGTATATGTATGAATATGTTCTCAGCGGGACATTTCTCTGGTTAGTGCTACATGCTTGTTCATGCATTTGTTAAGACAGTTACTTAGAAATACAGAGCACGGGCATCTTTAACAACAGTACAGTGCTTCTCTACTGGCCTATTTCTCTCAAATTATTTTTTTGCATAGTGGTTCGATTTAACTTCTGTCTATTGCCCACATTCTGATATAAACGTGGAGCACAGTGCTCTACATGCCCCCGTTTTTTCACTTTTTCAGTAGTTCTAAGAAAACAATATTGTTTTATAGGCAGCAACCTGAGGTTTAGATCCAAAATTGATGAGGCAGCAAATGAATTCCTGAATTTGAATATTAGATCCTCGGCCTTTTAGCTCCAAGGTTTATGTGTTTACCAACTTCATGGTTGTACGTGAACAGGTTCAGTGAACCTTATGGTACACCAGTATTAAGGGTTTCCTGGACTTTGCCGTTTATGGCCGAAAATAAATTACTATTTCCCATGTTCATCTTACTCTTGTATTCATGTCTTTCCCCTAAAAGTCTTTTCCTCTGTCGTACTGACTTGCTGCCTACCTTCCGCTTTAAAATACTGTGGTAATATCTGCATGGGGATTTATTCCATAGTTGATTTTGCTCTTTTCTTTAAGGGAAAATTCCATTATTTCCAGCCTTTTGGTATTTTGCAAAATGCCCTTGATATATGTAAAGTGTGTATATTATTAGTTATTTCCTTAGGAAAAATTTCTGTAACTGGGATTTTGGGATAGTGATATATACACTTAAGGTTGAGTCAGATTTACTGTTGATAGTGTCAAATTACAATATAAGAAATTTACTAATTGCATTGCCATTGGCACTTGTAGATATGCCTATATCCTCCCATTCCTGCTTTAAAATGTTAACAATTTTATAAGTTAAAAGGGTGAAGAATGCAACTGAATTTGGATTGTGGTTGTGTGTGATAGTAGGAATACGTAGGTTTACAGATTTTCTACTTGAAGTGTCCTTTGTATATTGATTTACTTTGCTTTATATTTGTAGCCAGGTTTTAACTTTATCCTTTAGTTTTTTTTACTGAATATTATTTCAAATGAATTACTATAAAATAATTATATGCATATTTAATAATAGTTAATAGGCCTATAGTACCCTCTTAAATTTAGGTTTTTGGTGGCTTATTGTGATACTTGAGAATTTTAGCAGTCTTTCATCTTTCCTTAATATTTTTTCACTTTTCTTTATCTTCACAATTTCAAATTAAATACACTTTTAGGGCTGGGATTTAGCTTAGTGGCATAAGTGCCTGCCTGACAAGCATGAGGTCATGAGCTCAATGCCTGGTACCAAAAAAGAAAAAAAAAATAAATACATTTTTGATATTTCATGATTTTTGACGATATAAATATTATTTACTGCCAAACAAAGTGCTATGCTATGTTTCCATTTTCCTTCTGGTTCTGGTACCATTGACCTCTGTTTCTTTTCTGCCTATTTTCAAGCTTCACATTTACTTACATTTGGGTTTCGCTGTTTCTTTGGTTGATTGGAAAGAGAGTTTATGTTTCTTTTTGTTTTCATTATTTCAGCATGATTTTCTGGAAGAGCAGGGTCACTCTACAGCTCTCT